GACCTTCTCTGTGATGCAAAAAAAATTAACTTGTTTCAAACAATACTGGAAAGTGACAAGTTGGAATTGGGAAATAGAATTCTGATCATTATGAACAATAGTGTATTCTAATCATGAATCATGCGATCTGTACCGATCAGTAAAATGAGAGGCAATCTGTGTGAGTGCGGATGTCACCTGATGAGCTGTGGCAAATAAAGTGGATAACCAATAGTGGATGTTGGGACTGCAATTTATGGACATTGTTTTTTTGATTGCAGAAGACACCCTATTTGCCAAATATCATCAGCATAAAAGGTGGACTTTGGCTTCTCATACTCATTCATTGAGTGATAGAGTGCTGTTTAAGAATGACTGTTATTTACTCATTGTTTATATGTGTCACTGTAACTGTCAATGGGACTTTTTAGGTGTCAAATATACAGTGGCTTGAAAAAGTATTCATACCCCTTGAAAATTTTCCACGTTTTGTCATGTTACAACCAAAATTTCAAATTTTTTTTTACAAATATCTGAAAAGTGTGGCGTGCATTTGTATTCAGCCCCCCAGAGTCAATACTTTGTAGAACCACCTTTGGTGCAATTACAGCTGCAAGTCTTTTTGGGATGTCTCTACCAGCTTTGCACATCTAGAGAGTGAAATTTTTGCCCATTCTTCTTTGCAAAATAGCTCAAGCCCTGTCAGATTGCATGGAGAGCGTCTGTGAACAGCAATTTTCAAATCTTGGCACAGATTCTCAATTTGATTTATGTCTTGGTTTTGACTGGGTATAGGTAGGGACGTTGTCCTGCTGGAAGGTGAACCTTTTCCCCAGTCTCAGGTCTTTTGCAGACTCAAAACAGGTTTTCTTCTAGGATTGCCTTGTATTTGTCTCCATCCATCTTCGCACCAACTCTGACCAGCTTCCCTGTTCCTACTGAAGAAAAGCATCCCCACAACATGACGCTGCCGCCACCATGTTTCACGGTGGGGATGGTGTGTTCAGGATGATGTGCAGTGTTCGTTTTCTGCACATATAGTTTCTTTTAAACCAAAAAGTTAAATTTTGGTCTCATCTGACCAGAGTACCTTCTTCCACATGTTTGCTACATGGCTTCTGGTAAATTGCAAACGGGACTTCTTATGGCTTTTTTTCAACAATGGCTTTCTTCTTGCCACTCTTCCATAAAGGCCAGATTTGTGTAGTGCATGACTAATAGTTGTCCTGTGGACAGATCTCTGCAGCTCCTCCAGAGTTATCATGGGCCACTTGGCTGTTTCTCTGATCAATGCTCTCCTTGCCTGGCCTGTCAGTTTAGGTGGACGGCCATGTATTGGTATGTTTGCAGTTGTGACATACTCTTTCCATTTTCGGATGATGGATTGAACAGTGCTCCGTGAGATGTTCAAAGCTTGGGATATTTGCTGATCACCGCCATTACTAGTTTAGTGTTTGTACGGATCAATATATTGTTCATGAATAGAACTATACTAGTGCCTCCTTTGTATAGTGTCTACAAAAACGCAGAGTTCGCAGGATCGGCCCGGTCGCTGCCAGCACTAGTGTTTAGCCCCTCCGCTGTTTTTCATGGAAGATTTGTATCAATTGATTGTGGGCCAAGGCAATTTATACGCACAACAATACATGGCCACCCACCCACATTCAGCTCTTGCTAGACAGTTCGCATGGAAACCTATCACGGTTTCTGAATTTAAACTCTTTTGGGCCTAACCCTCAACATGGGCATTACAGAAAAGAATGAATTGCGGTCATATTGGTCCACAGAGCCAATTCATCGTATGCCCGTGTTCTCGGATGATACATATATGCCCAACATGGACCAGCAATGTACTGGTACGTCGCTGGACTTTGAATGGTTATACCGGGATGATGCCTGCACCTACAGGCATCATCCATCATCCTGGTATACTGTAGTTTTTTGCAGCTGGTGGTCTGCTTTCATGTAAAAACAATCCTAGAAGCCAATTAGCTGCTGAATTGTTTTTTTATGAGCAGCGGGAAGGGACATGTGCCCCCCCGCTGCCTTCCACAGGTTTCCTGGGCTCTCCTGTGCCACAGGGGAATCCGAGAATGCAGCCGAAAGTTCTGCTGGCTAACCATAGAGCTGTTCAGAGACCAGAATGGCTCCAATCATCTCTATAGTCTAAGAAATCAGAAGCTACGAGCATTTCATCACTTCAGTTTCGCAGGATATAAACAGCGCCATTTGTAAAATTGGGAAAGCATCTGATCACACCGATCTTGGTTTGATTAGATAATGTAATAACCCCAGATTTCTCAAAAAAGAATATATGGCAATGCCCATTGAAGTTATAGGGGATATTTACATTTTCTGTGATGGCATTAAAAAAAAAAAAAAAAATCAAAAATAACTGCCCCCCAGCATTGACCCCGTGCCGGTATGTAAACAGTGGCTGCACCATGCATGTGAAGTATCGCCGCGAACGTCAGATCGAGGGCAGTAATTCTAGCACTAGACCTCCTGTATAAATATAAATTGGTGACCTGTAAAGGCTTTTAAAGTGTCGCCCATCAAAAATAAAAAATGTACATACTTTGTTGCCATTGCACGGGCATGCGCAATTTTAAAGCATGTCATGTTTGGTATCCATTTACTCAGCGTAACATCATCTTTTATAATTTATCAAACAATTGTGCAATATATTGTGTTTTTGTGCATAAAAATTCTAGTGTATTTTTCCCAAAAAATTTGCTTTGAAAAATAGCTGCACAAATACTGTGACGTAAAAAAAATTTCAACACCCACCATTTTATACTCTAGGGCCCCTGCTTTAAAAAAAATATATAATATGTTGCGGTTCAAAGTAATTTTCTAGCACAAAAAACTGTTTTTTCATGGGAACAAAAAGTGTCAGAGCTTATGCCACACATCACCCACTTTTGAAGACCAAGCCTTTTCCAATGTTGGCCCTGAAATAACAGGATAATAGAAGCAACCCCTACAAATGACCCCTTTTTCGAAAGTAGACAATCCAAAGTATTTGTTAAGAGGCATGGTGAGTGTTTTGCAGTTCTCATTTGTTGCCACGTTTTTGGAAAAAAAAGCAAAAAAATTATTTTTTCTTTTCTTTTCCAAACTGTGATAAAAAGGATATCTATAAAAATACTCACCATGCCTCTTACCAAATTTCTTGGGGTGTCTACTTTCCAAAAAAGGGTCATGGGGGGGGGGGGGTTATCCTAGCATTTTAGAGCCTCCGAAACTGTGGTAGGTAGTGGGGAAGTGATATGAGGAATATGCCCTTTGAAAGCCTGAGAGGTGGTAATTGGATTTGGGGGGCTTGTATGTAGCTAGGCTGCCAAAATGTCTCTCACATGTGGTATCCCCATACTCGGGAGAAGTAGAAGAATGTGTTTCGGAGTGTTATTCCACATATACTTATGGAATGCTTGAGCAACATATCATTAAAATGGCAACTGTAAAAAAAAAAAAATTCAAAATATTTGTGCCAAAAAAATAAAATGCTCATGGACTCAACATGCCTCTCTGAAAAATCCTTGGGGTGTCTACTTTCCAAAAAGGGGTCATTGGGGTGGGGGGTTGTACTGCCCTGCCATTTTAGCACCTCAAGAAATGTGATAGACAGAAAGTAAAAGCTGTGTAAATTCCAATATATATATACACCATAGTTTGTAGATGCTATAACTTTCACACAAAGCAATAAATATACACTTATTGAGATTTTTTTTTTTACCAAAAACATGTAGCAGAATACATTTTAGCCTACATTTATGACTGAGTTTATTGGATGTGTTTTGTAACTTAAAGTGCAAAATATAGTTTTTCCTCAATATTTTCAGTCTTTTTTTGTTTATAGCGCAAAAAAATAAAAACCGCACAGGTGATCAAATACCACCAAAGAAAGCTCTATTTATGTGAAAAAAAGGACATAAATCTCGTTTGGGTGCAGCATTGCACGACTGTGCATTACCAGTTGAGAAAGCGCAGTGCCGAACATCAAAAAAATGGCCTGGTCAGGAAGAGGGGTGAATCCTCAGGAGGGCAAGTGGTTAAATAGTTTTATATTTTCAAAACCATAAACTGAAATTGATCTGCAGATGAACACAGCAAAGTTTAAATTAGGAAAAAAAAAAAACAAGTATTGTGGCCAAACATGATTTCCTGCAGAAGACTCAATGGATTTTTCACAAACAGCTGCCCCATGAAAGCCAATGAGAGGCTGACAGTGTCCGTACACATTCATATGTAAACAGACATGCAGTGATTATCTGTGGATGATCGGCCCTGGATGCAAACTTGTGTATAGGACCCAGCTGAGGGTAATCAATGCAAGCCCAGTTGCATACAAATGTCCAAAAATGGATGTGGAAGCTTTTAGCCTCATTGCTTTGTATGGATGTCCCTACCTGGAGCTGTTCACAGAAACCCTGCTGAGTCTCCCACAGGAAAATGTAGTCGGCCCTTAAACCCATGTGTGAGCGAGGCCTCATTTGGCACAATCCCAAAGATTCAAATAGTCACCGAAGAGAAACAGTCCTGAAAGTACACATATTTGAAAACCACAAGCCTTAAGTGAAAGCACTCATTGGATGAATGCGACTACACAAAAATAAAGGTCAATGCACGCATCATACATCGTCGTCCTCAACAGCTCCTTGTTTATCACACTTCACACAGTGAATCTGTGCACCAACTTTAGGGCCCCAATGTTTAATATTATAGTCATAGGAGAAGTGGTACCTTACAATAGACAAGAATTCTATTACCTATTAATTCTTTTACTGCTTTTATCTACATATTAATTGTGTGTTCAAATTCATCATCTGTAAGTTTTCACTTCTGGCTGGTGGCAGTGGCTGGCATTCACACTGGACTAGTTGTAGATTACCTTCTTCTTGGTAAGCAGGTTGAAGAGTTTTTAACATGATTTGGAAATTTTAAATGATTCCACTGAACTCCAATGATAATACAAAAAGAATCACTTTTAAAATTTTTAGAAATGTACTTTGCAATACCTGCAGCTGCATGACCACATAGTTGAATCGATCGTTCCTCCCACATCCTATGAAGCGACATACATGATCTTTACCTACAAGAAAAAACACAAATCAAGTTAATAAATTAACAAAGGAAATTAGACAGAGCTGCATGACTGAATAAAAACCAATTAAAATGTTTAACCTCTTCAATAATCGGCACTTTTACCCTCTCCCTTCCCAGGCCAATTTCCAGCTTTCAGTGCTGTCACACTTTGAATGACAATTGCGCAATAATGCAACACTGTACCCTATGTGAATTTTTTATCATTGTTTTCACAGAAATAGAGCTTTCTTTGGTGGTATTTTATCATCACTGGGTTTTTTATTTAGTTTTTTTTAAAAGGTATTTATTTTGCATTTACATTTATATTTTAAAGCTCTGAGAAAACTGTTGGCGCTATATAAATCCTGTATAATAATAATAATAATAATAATAAAAAACACAAATAATAACAGACAGAAGAGACAAAATGAGAAATGAGAACAGGAACCCAAAACTAAAACCTAAGAGAACAATAAAGATTTCAAAACAAAAAAACAGCATAACAGATCAACAATCAAAAGCAGTCAAACACACACAAGCAAACACAAAACACTCGCACCATCAGCACCCCATACGTACCAGAAGAGATCACTAGCACCTAAATTCCACCACTCCAGAAAGAGTCCGCTATATCTAGCCAAGGTTTCCAGATTTATTTAGGGCAGGCCTGTCCCTTAGGCTACGTTCACACTAGCGTTGTGTGCAGGTGGCAGAGAGGCGTTTGGGAAGCGTTTTTACTGCTTCCCAAACGCCTCTGCCAATTCTGCACATTACACATTACATGGTGCTGTTCTAACGGGAGCGTTTGCATCGCGTTGCGGCAAAATGGACACCTCTGGTCGAGTCAGGAGGCGTTGAAGCCTTCTATTCTAGTCTATGGTGCCACTCCGCAAACGCCCGGTTGGCGTTTGCGGTGCGATTGCAGGGCGTTTGCGGAGCGGTAACACTATTCAAACTGCATTATAGGCATTTGTGGGGCGTTTTTAACGCTCGGCCTAGCAACCGCCGCTAAACCGCGCATGCAGCGTTTGCGGAGCGTTAAAAAATGCTCCGCAAACGCCGGACCAACGCTTGCCAAGCGCTATAGGGGCGTTTGGCAAGCGTTGGTAAAACAGCCAAGTGTGAACGAGCCCTTAAAGATCAGCTTATATTGAGGCAGCACTAGATTAACCATTCAATAAAATCAATGGGGTTTTTATTTTTGCAAAATAAATGAAAATGTAAAAAAATGTTTTTGTACTGTTAAAATTTTGCTAATCTTTCTTCAAAAATGTAGGCCAAAATGTATACTGCTACATTTCTTTGGTGAAAATAACCCAAATCAATGTTTATTATTTAGTTGGTAGGAAAAGTTATATGCCATAGTTTGTGAACTCTATCTGAAAATTGGTAAATCCTGATGTAGTTACGTCCTGTCTCATTTCTTGAGACCCAAAAAATGTCAGGACAGTACAAAGATTCCCCAAATGACCCCTTTTTGAAAAGTAGCCTGCAGTATTAAGTAAGAGGCATGGTGAGTTTTTTGAAGTGTGATTTTTTTTGTCCTTTTTTCACAATTGTTTTATTCATACCGTCACCAATACAGTACAGAGTCATAATATAAGTTGTGTGGCGGTGATCAAGGACACTGACTGGTGATCGTATGTAGTAAAAAAAAAAAAAAAAAAAAGTAATTTTTTTCAATTTTATATTACTTTTTTTCCCCTCTTTCTTTTACTCCTGTGCACAGAGCAATACAGTGTTAACATAGTGATCAGGATTTTTTTTTTTTTTTTTTTTTCATTGCACTATGATTGCTTATACCAGTGAATTTCTCTGGTATAAACAACCATATTTACTGAATGAAAGCGATTCATTCAGTATGTATTATTGTGATTAGCTTTGTCAGTCATTGTCCCTCCATGTACCACTGTGACCAATCAAAGCTAGCTACACAATTGTAAGCAATGAATGGCATGAAAGGAAGACATTTAGAAGCTCGATAAAAAAATATAGTCTCTCAGAAAAGCAGATAATGGTTTTACGTCTCCATGCACACGGGATGTTTTGATAACGCTGGTAACGTTAGCTGTGCAAAGTCACATTAACTTCAACTTAACTTCAACTTTTTTTTTAGCATGTTTGCATTAGCGTTTAGCCGCGTTTTCCCGCGTTTAGCAGTGTTTTTCCAAGTTTGCGGTTTTTAGCGGGTTTCTTTGACCAAAAAAAAAATATTTTTTCTTGGTCAAAAAAAAAAAAAAAGCGCCGGTTTGCGGCGTTTTACGGTGTTTCAGCTTTCTAGCGTTTTTACAGCAAAAAAACTCCTCTAGGAGACCCACTAGTTCTGGGTTTTTTTTTCTAGACAAAAAATTTCCCTGCCAAAAAACATTGATTACAATCTATGTGTACATGGACACATAGGATAACATGCTGGGGGGTTTACTGGTTGTAGAAAAAACATCAAAAGCCGCAGCTGTAAAAAGGTCCCATGTGCATGAGGACTTAAACAAGAGCTACAGAAATAAAAACAACATGTTTACTTCTGGTGTAAAAAATAAATAAAATGCTGCCTTCGATCCTCAGCACTGTGCGGACACTAGCATTTACAAAAAATGTTTAGTTTTTTTTCTTTTATTTACAAAAGAAATAATTTTTAATGTTGAGGTATAAAGTTGTGAGGCAAGATGTGACCTGGCCAACAGCTCACTGAAGTACAAAAAATTGGGAGTTGGGGTTACAGATGAGTTTGGACGATGTTATACATCACCTCTAGCCACTTCCCGACCATCCTATAGCAGATGTATGGCTACAGGGTGGCATTTCTGTGAAAAATCACACACACACTTTTTTTTTTTTTTACGTAATTCTGCACTTCTTTGTGCCCCTTCTGCTGTGATTAGTCAGGGGAGTGACAGGACACATATGTAAACAAGGCAGAGCAGTGTCCTGTCAGTGGCGATCTGCTGGATTCTCTTTCCCTGCAAGGCAGGGAATAAAATCCAGCACATTGCCTAGTAAAAACACCTAAATATACACACAAAAACACTGGTTAGGTACACAGTTAATGCTTTCATTGCCCTAGATGTTTAACCTCTTCCCAGCCAGTGTCATTAACATATGACATATTTTTATATTAGATCAGTGTATATTTTTAGCACTGATCACTATTAGTGTCACTGATTCCTGGCTGATCGCTGCCATTACTATTAAAAAAAAAAAATCACACACCGCAGATGTCATTGACTTCTACAGTAAAAACTCTGATAATGCTTTTCCATCAGTGTGTCACAGGTATAGCAAATGATGGTCCTTGGTCCCTTTAAGGGCCAATTCACATTATAGAAACGCAGTCCAGATGCGTTACGTATGAGTTTTTGCATGCACATTTTTGGTGCATTCCGGTGCGTTTTTGACACGTTCCAGTGTGTTTTTTATGCGTTCCAGTTTTTTTCCCCCTTTTTTTTCCTCCAATTTAAACAGGGCCATGCATTCCAGTGCGTTTTGGTACATTTTTTAGTGCGTTCCGGTGCGTTTTTGATGCATTTTACTGTGTTCCAGTACAGTTCTGTGCAGAAAAACTTGCAGAAAAAGCAAATTAAATGCGTGTAGTGTTAACTGGCCGGCCTTCAGTGTCAGCCACTGGATAGCTTTTCCTTCAAATCTGTGCAATGCTTCTGTCACTCTAAGGCTAGGCCAGTGTTTCTCAACTCCAGTCCTCATGGACCCCCAACAGGTCATGTTTTCAGGATTTCCCTCAGATGAAACAGCTGTGGTAATTACTAAGGCAGTGAAACTGATCAAATCAGCTGTGCAAAATAATGGAAATCCTGAAAACATGACCTGTTGGGGGTCCATGAGGACTGGAATTGAGAAACACTGGGCTAGGTTCACACCTATACAGTTTGCATTTAGTCTGTTTCTGCAGTGCTTTTTCCGTTGCGTTTTTGACACTTTTTTCTTGTTGCTAGGCAGATTAAACTGCAAAATGCATCAAAAAACTGCGGCAAAAACGAACTACATGCTTTTCTGCAGCGTTTCCATTCAAGTCTATAGAGCCAAAAATGCAACTTTTTGCTTTAAAAAAGTCCCTGACCCTGTAAAAAAAAATGCACCTGGTGAAAATGTGGAAATGTGAGTGTGTCCCACAGGATATCATGTTAAATGGACTGTAGTACGTTTCTGCAAAGCGGAAAACGCTTAGGTGTGAACCTAGGGTAAGGGTGCCCAGTGTTGCCCTGCATTAGAACTATCATGAGAGTGAAAACCGCATATAGTGCACTAATTTTATTGTAAACTCATTGGGAATAGTATTGCACTTACAGTACATTAGTATTGAAAAGTACAAGCCACAAGAAACTGAAACTTTGTTTTTGTGGCTTGCACCTCTCAATGTTCATGGAAGAGCAATAATATTTGCAATGAGTTTACAATAAAATTGGTACACTAAGAGGGTTATTTACTAAAACTGAAGAGTGCAAAATCTGGTGTGATTGCATAGAAAGCAATCAGCTCCCAGGATTTACTGCCAAAGCTTAATTGAACAAGCTGAAGTTAGGAGCTGATGGAAAAGCATTATCTGACTTTTTACTTTAGAAATCATTAGGCCGGTGAATGTGGAGTGTGTATTTCTTAAAGTGGAAGTAAACCCTTTTTGTATATTTTTAACTACAGGTTATCTTATAATAAAGCCTACCTGTAGGTAAAATGATATATCCTAAACGTGCATCATTTAGGTGATATTCAAGTTTTTTGCAGCAGGCGCATGCGCTCTGAAGGAAAGGCATACTCGTGCCATTCCTTCACAGCACTGTGCCGTGTCCAGAGACTCCCGTGCGCATGCGTGGGAGTGACGTAATCGTGGTCCAGCCAGTCAGATGGCCGGAAGGAAGATTGGGTGAATATTGAAAGCCTCTACAGCGGTGATAGCGAAGCACTGGAGGCTTCTTTTTGAGTCAAGTTTTATATAGTATGCAACACATACTAGCAATGTCTTTACCTTGCAGGGATTTTTTTTTTTTTGTTAAATGGAC